GAGACCATGGAGGCCCCGGCAACGCCAGGCCGCCAGCCTGAGGAAGCCTCTCCGCTCACAGCCAGGAAGCTGGTCCCTGACCCAGATTCTGTCCCTCCTCTGGTCTTGGCTGCCACAAGACCTTTCCCTGCTCCTGGGGTCCAGACATTCAGGCATCTCACTGTTCTCCACTCCCCACCCAAGCCCCATCTCTAGGACAATCCTCAGCTCACCTTCCTTAGGCCCCTGCTGGTCCTTAGTCCCAGCGCTGGCCTCTCCCCACCCCTCCGGCTCCTGTCCTCTGGCCCCTCGGCCTCCCTCACCCCCAAACGAGCAGCCAGCTTTCGTTCTCTAACCCCATCTGTGGTGCCTTGATGGGTCCTCTGAATGTGACCTTGCTGAGGCCAAACCCTCAGGGCCCTCTCTCCCTCCATCCCTCCTCTCTCCCTTCCTCTCCCCCTTCCTCTCTCCCTCTCTGTCCTCCTTCCCTCCTCTCTCCCTCCTTCTCTCCCTCTCCCCCTCTCTCCTTCCCTCTCTCCCTTCCTCTCCCCCTCTCTCCCTTCATCCCTCCTGTCTCCCTCCCTCTCCCCCTTCCTCCCTCTCTCTCTGTCCTCCTTCCCTCCTCTCTTCCTCCCTCTCCCCCTCTCTCCCTCCCTCTCCCCCTTCCTCCCTCCCTCTCTGTCCTCCTCCCCTCCTCTCTCCCTCACTCGCCCCCACGGGTTTGCTCTTATGAGTTGAATAAATGGACCAGAGACCTACAGACCGAGTTCTTGCCCTTTGTCAGCTCCCTGTGGCAGAAGGTCACGCCGATTTGGGAAGCAGGGGCGTTCACCAGCTGCTGGGCATGTGGTCACGGGAGACACGGACAGGAGTCTTGCTCCCCTCCCCGGGCTCCAGGCCGTGAACTCGGGACCACGGAGCTCACCGCGGCTCCGGAGCCCTGAAGCCGGGCCTGAGCAGGGCGGGCGGTGTCTGCGGGCACCCGGGCGGCACCGGCCGGAGGGGAGACACGGGGAGTCCCAGGGCAGCCCCTGTGAGAGGGAGGTGACCACCGGCCCGCCCGGCCGGAGCGCCCGTCTCCGGGCACGGCCTCACGGGCTCTGTCCTCACAGCTGCTCACCAAGGACGCGAAGCAGAGGCTGGGCTGCCGGGAGGAGGGGGCGGCGGAGGTCAAGAGGCACCCCTTCTTCAGGAACATGAACTTCAAGCGCCTCGAAGCCGGCATGTTGGACCCGCCCTTCGTTCCCGATGTGAGCAGCTCCCCCGCCCCCACGGGGTCTGTGCCTGCTCTCGGCCTTGGCCTCGCCCACTGTCGGGCCTGGGCCTGACCCAGGCCGAGGAGACGGTGGGCAGGCGGCCTCTGCCCTCCAGGGACAGACGTGTCACCAGGGCTGGGGGTCCTGCTTCCGTCCTGGAGTGGCCTCCTCCAGGAAGTCCTCACCCTCAGACCTACAGGCCCCAGAGCACCTGGGGACCTCCCCCATACCCTCCCCCCAGCTTTGAGTTCCTGGAGGGGAAGGCCTGCGGGGCGTCTCCGTGGGTCTCGGCAGAGCAGCCCCAGTGCGTGTCTGGGGGAGTGAGATGGAGATATTCCCGCCCGCCCGTGCGGCCCCAGGCTCCAGGGCAGTGCTCACAGCCCAGGCCCAGGGGCTCCCCTGCCCCGGCCTGCAGGGGGGAGACCAGCCTGTGGGACGTGGGACTTTCCCAGAATTCCTGCGCACCAGCGCAGGGACCCAGCCGGCCCCTTGGTGCCCGTACCGTGAGGAGGGGTTGGGGAGGCGCCCCCTCCCCCCACCCGGAGTCGTCCATGGCTGCATGTCCCTGGCCCTGGGAGCCAGCATTCGCTCTCCCCAGGGGGGGGGGAAGGGGGGGGTGGCCCAGTTTCCCGTCCCGGTCCGGGGCCCCTGATGGAGGGGTGGCTCAGGGATGGGTGATGGCCCTGGACGCCCCGAGCTCCCGTGTCCCCGGCCAGGGCCGTTGGCAGACCTGAGAGGGCAGCCCAGGGGCGGGGGGGTGGGCCGGGCCGGGGGCAGGCCCGCGTGACGCCCGCCCCGCCCCAGCCCCGGGCCGTGTACTGTAAGGACGTGCTGGACATCGAGCAGTTCTCCACCGTGAAGGGCGTCAACCTGGACCGCACGGACGACGACTTCTACTCCAGGTTCTCCACGGGCTCCGTGCCCATCCCCTGGCAGAACGAGGTCAGCGCTGGGCGGCTGCGGGGGGGGGGGGGGGACCGCGCAGGGGTGGCGGGGACGGTCCCAGGTCTGCAGGGCACCGTGGGGGTCAGAGGGCGGGGGCGGGTCTGCTGGGCACCGTGGGGGTCAGAGGGCGGGGGCGGGTCTGCTGGGCACCGTGGGGGTCAGAGGGCAGGGGCGGGTCTGCTGGGCACCGTGGGGGTCAGAGGGCAGGGGCGGGTCTGTGGGGCATCGTGGGGGTCAGAGGGCAGGGGCGGGTCTGTGGGGCATCGTGGGGGTCAGAGGGCGGGGGCGGGTCTGCTGGGCATCATGGGGGTCAGAGGGCGGGGGCGGGTCTGCTGGGCATCATGGGGGTCAGAGGGCGGGGGCGGGTCTGCTGGGCATCATGGGGGTCAGAGGGCGGGGGCGGGTCTGCTGGGCATCATGGGGGTCAGAGGGCGGGGGCGGGTCTGCGGGGCACCGTGGGGGGCAGAGGGCTGAGGAAGCCAATCTAGACCCGGGGACGGCAAACTGCAGCTTGCGAGCCACATGCGGCTCTTTGGCCCCTTGAGTGTGGCTCTTCCACAAAACACCACGGTCTATTGTGAAGAAGTGGCGTTAGAAGAAATTTAAGTTGAAAAAACTTGGCTCCCAAAAGAAGTTTCAATCGTCGTCCTGTTGATATTTGGCTCTGTGGACTGATGAGTTTGCCGGCCACTGGCCTAGACAGCTGGGCTGGGAAGGGAGGAAAATGGAGCTGGGACGGAGGCACAGGGGGTGAGTTGGGGGCAGAGTTGGATGGAATGAGATGGAAATGATGGAGGGGCGGAGCAGGGGGGTGGCCTGGGCTGGGGGGGTGAGCAGGAGGCGGCTGTGGGTCTGGGGTGCGACTTGGGCCTTCTCAGGGGAGAGACGGCGGGCGGAGGGCGGGCGCTGTCTGGTCTCGGCCCGGTGGACGGAGGGCGGCAGACAGCCTGGTGGGGCCCGGCTGGGGGTGGGACAGGGCTCGGCGCTGGGACTGTCCACCCTGGTGACACCGCAGCCTCAGCGCCCGCTGCCTGCGTTCCTCCAGATGATAGAAACGGAGTGCTTCAAGGAGCTGAACGTGTTTGGACCTAACGGTACCCTCCCACCAGACCTGGACCGGAGCCACCCTCCGGAGCCACCGAAGAAAGGGCTGTTCCAGAGGATCTTCAAGCGCCAGGTGAGCCCCCACCCCAGCCCCTCCCCCACTGCCATGCCCACCCCCACCCCAGCCCCTCCCCCACCCCCATCCCCACCCTCACCCCATCCCCTCCCCCACCCCCATCCCCCACCCCATCCCCACCCCCATCCCCTCCCTCACCCTCATCCCCTTCCCCACCCCCATCCCCTCCCCCACCCCCATCCCCACCCTCACCCCATCCCCTCCCCCACCCCCATTCCCACCTCCACCCCCATCCCCACCCCCACCCCCATCTCCTCCCCCATCCCCAGCCCCTCCCCCACCCCCATCCCCACCCTCACCCCATCCCCTCCCCCACCCCCATTCCCACCTCCACCCCCATCCCCACCCTCACCCCATCCCCATCCCCACCCCCATGCCCACCCCCATCTCCTCCCCCACCCCCATCCCCTCCCCCACCCCCATCCCCTCCCTCACCCCATCTCCTCCCCCACCCCCATCCCCACCCTCACCCCATCCCCTCCCCCACCCCCATTCCCACCTCCACCCCCATCCCCACCCCCACCCCCATCTCCTCCCCCATCCCCATCCCCTCCCCCACCCCCATCCCCCACCCCATCCCCACCCCCATCCCCTCCCTCACCCTCATCCCCTTCCCCACCCCCATCCCCTCCCCCACCCCCATCCCCACCCTCACCCCATCCCCTCCCCCACCCTCATCCCCTTCCCCACCCCCATCCCCTCCCCCACCCCCATCCCCACCCTCACCCCATCCTCTCCCCCACCCCCATCTCCTCCCCCACCCCCCCTTCCCCACCCCCATCCCCACCCCGGGTCCTGGCCTCGGCCCGGGGACCGTGGCTCAGAACGTCCTCAGAGTTGAGACCAGCATGCAGAGCACACCTGGGTGTGGGGCCCAGGGTCTGGGGGGCAGGCAGTTGTCTGCACCCCTGAAACCCACTGGCTGAGGGGCCCAGGTGGAAGGGGCAGGGCCGAGGTGACCTTTAGCAAGGTTCCTCCACCTCGGCATACTGACCTTTTGGGTTAATTTTTTTTTTTTTTAAGAGGGGAAGGAGGAGGGAGAGAGAGAGAGAGAGAGAGAGTGAGGGAGAGAGAGAGAGAGGAACATTGATGAGAGAGAACCATTGATCGGCTGCCTCCTGCATGCCCCCTGCTGGGAATCCAGCCTGCAAACCGAGCATGTGTCCTGACCAGGAATCGAACTGGGACCTCTTGGTCAAGGCTCAGCCCCTGAGCCGCAGTGGCCGGGCTGGGTTAGTCCTGCGTCATGGGGGCTGTCCTCTCTGGCCTGCCACCAGATGCCACAGCACCCCGCCCACTCCTGTGGTGGCAGGGCTCCCTCCAGACAGGGTCCCCCGGGCTCTGGCCCTGAGGAGAAGCGCTGCTGGGCCCGCCCGGCCTGCAGGGGAGGGTGCCAACGGCAGCGCGAAGCAAGGTGACCGGCCAGCAGCCCCGCCCGCAGCCCCGTCTTCGGGCTCAGAGGCCCTGGCCGCTCCCGGGCCACGGAGCCCGCCCCGCCAACTGACCTGCTTCCTCTCTGCCTCCCCCGCCCCCTCTCCCAGCACCAGAACAATTCCAAGAGTTCACCCAATTCCAAGACCAACTTCAACCACCACATCAACTCCAACCACGTCAGCTCCAACTCCACCGGGAGCAGCTAGTTGCCTCTGGGCCTGGAGGTCCACGTGGGACGGGCTAGGCCCCGTCCTCAGGAGCAGAACTCGTGGCCGGCGGAGCGTCCACGCCGGAGGGTGGACGGGGCGGCCGGCCCGGAGCCGGCGAAGGAAGGAGGCGCCCCCGGGCACGGAGCCCCCGGGTCCCCAGCTCCCACTCAGGTCCGAGCAGACGCGGCCCCGCCCGGGCGGACTGGCTTGGTCTCTGCCGCCTACGGCAGTAGCACTCCGGCCGAAAGGACGGCGACGTGCACGTGTTTTAATAGCGTCCTGACTAGGACGGAACTTGGTCTTTATTATTTTTAAAGAAACGTTTTGTAAATTTCTCTACCGCCTCAGTTTACATTTTGTATATTTGTATTTAAATGAAAGTCAGACTTGGAGGGTGTATATTTTCTGTGCAGCCACTGGTAAGCCATGTGTTTTCAGACATTTTAGAGGGGGGGGGGGGGGGGCGGGGAGTGGATTTACCAAAAAAAAAATGTGACTCAAGACTTCCACAGCCTCAAATGAGAGGCCGTTTTTATTAAACGTAGAAAATGACTCACACGCACCTTGAAAGGGTTGGTGGCATCTTCTCTCTCACCTGTGCCGGTCATGGCCATCACTGTCCTCTTTCTGCCCTGTGGACATGGCCATCACCATCATCCCTCTGCCCTGTGCTGGGCATGGCCATCACTGTCCTCTCTCTGCCCTGTGGGCATGGCCATCACCATCATCCCTCTGCCCTGTGCTGGGCATGGCCATCACTGTCCTCTCTCTGCCCTGTGGGCATGGCCATCACCATCATCCCTCTGCCCTGTGCTGGGCATGGCCATCACTGTCCTCTCTCTGACCTGTGCCGGGCATGGCCATCATCCAAATGGCCATCACCCTCTGGTCACTTGGAAGAATTGGAATTAGATGCCCAGAGACGCACCTGGGACTTCCCCCCTCCCCCGCCAGCCCCCCGCCAGGACGCCCTGGTCTGGGGGATGCACACTTCCCCGGTGCTTTGGCCCCGGCCCCCCTTCCTCCTGTGAGATGGCCGGGCCCCGCCAGCGTCTCCGGCATCTTCTCTGGGCCCTTCTTTCTAAGAGGTACTGACTGCTAACGCCAGGTTGTCCTCGGGTAGTGTGTGTCCGGGGTCTTTGTTTTATTCTGTTTTAAGAGAAAGGGAGCAGTGATAAGGAGTAATCATAAAGCCCCCGTGTCCCAAACCTTCATGGCCCCAGGGCTGCCCCCTCAGCGGCGCCGTGGCCGGTCCCCACCCCGTCCCCTCCGCTCCTCCTCGCCGTGGGAGGCCGGGAGGTTTCCTAATATGAACCTCACTTTCATGTATTGTTTTTTTGTTTTGTTTTTTAAGATCTCTCACCAGTGTAATATAGGCCACTACAGGCCCCAGGATCCTGCTCATGTCCCCACGCCCCCCCTGCCTGCCTCATCCACAGCCCTGCCAGCCCATTTCATTTTTAAATGTGATTTATTGATTGTTTTTAAAGAGAGAGGGAGGGAGGAGAGATGGTTTTTTAGAATATGTTTTTATTGATCTCAGAGAGAAGAAGGGAGAGGGAGAGAGAGAAGGAACATCCACGACGAGAGAATCGTTGAGGGGCCGCCTCCCGCACGCCCTCTCCTGGAGGTTGAGCCTGAAAGCCAGGGATCAAACCGTGGCCTCCTGGTTCATTGGTGGATGCCCAACCACTGAGCCGCACTGGCCAGGAGGATCACTGGTGTTCTCACCTCTCACCCTCTCCCGTCTTCTCTGAAATCGATAAAACGATATTTCTTACAAATTAAAAACATGCTTCCCTGGGCACCACGCCTTCCGCGTGGCCGTTTGTCTCCCTTGTGGTCCTGTCCGGGACCCCACTCGGGCCCCACCCCACGTGCTGAGGAAGAAAAGAAAAAAATCCATTTCCCCAGTCCAGCCTTTCACAAGTCCTCGTGTTTCCCTTGTTTGTTTCCCTGTGGGCTTTGCGGGCTGTCAGTGAGGTTCCACTGAAAACCCCGCCGGCGTCCCTCCCGCCAAGGGAAACACAGACAGGAGAGCGCTCTGCCCGCGCCTGGCAGGAGGAGGAAGCGGGGGGCGGCGGGTGAGGTGGGCTGGGGGCCAAGGGGGCGGGGGGGGGGGGGCCTGGACTCCGCCCCCGACTTCCCAAACCCAGATCTCTCCTCTCTCCTCTGCGAGCCGCTCCCTCCCCCGGGTTTGCTGAGCTCTCCCTCCGCTCCGCTGGCCTGGCCCTCGGGGGGACAGGAGCGGCAGGTCTGCTCCTCGGGGCTCAGTGTGCGGAGGGGCGTGGGGGACCCGCGGCCCAGGACAGCCATGGGAAAGGCAGAGGCAGGAACGTGGCCCAGAGGTCAGTGACTGTGGTGGTCCCCAAGGTGGGGCATGCAGGAGGCAGCTGGTCGGTGATGCTCTTTTCTTTCCTTTTTAAATATATTTTATTGCTTTTTTACAGAGAGGAAGGGAGAGGGAGAGAGAGGTAGAAACATGGATCAGCTGCCTCCTGCACACCCCCTACTGGGAATGTGCCTGCAACCAAGGTGTTGATCCTGGGACCCTTCAGTCCGCAGGCTGACGCTCTATCCATTGAGCTACACCGGTGAGGGCAGTGATTCTCTTTTCATTGATGTTTCTCTCTCTCCCTCCCTCCCTCTCTGAAATCAATGAAAGAATAGATGTTTTAAAAATCACAGGAGCCACCCTCACGCATGGGGCCCAGGTCAGTGTCCGGCTTCGGAGCTGCTCTGTGGCCACAGCCACATTGATTGCAGGGGGGGGGGTGCGGGGAGGGGAGGCCTGGGTGCAGGGTGCAGGGGCCGCTCTCGCTGCCTGCCACTTGCTGTGACCCTGTAGTTATGTCAAAGGTAAACGTTTTCCTTTAACATGTGCAAATGGAAGACTGAGGGAGGGGAGCAGAGCGGCAGGATGTGGGGAGGATTCGGACGGAGCGCCCGGGGGCAGGTGGAGGCCCTGAGGCCGGAATGAGCCAGGCTCACAGAGGGACCCAGACCGCACAGCCAGGAGGGAGAAACCAGTAACAAGGAGGCGGTTCGGTGGGCTCCGCACCGGTCCTCGGCGATCAGGGAGGCCCTCTGTGGTGCCCGGTCTCATCCTGGCCCAGGACTGGCACCGGCTGAGCCGCCGGCCCGGCTACAAGGGCCTCCCTCCCCTCCTCCGGCCCCGGACTCGCTGACGATCCCGAAGACAACAGAGGGTTTGAGGCTGGAAAGTGCCGTGCGGGGTTTTGTTCGTGTTTTCGTAAACGATAGACAGGTCCTCCCGTGAGGGGGCGGGAGAGCGGTCTTTCTGTGGCCGGACGGGCAGCTGGGCACCGGGGCCGAGCCCCGCGCTGGGCGGGTGCATGCCGTCACCTCTGCAACGTCGCTCCTGGAGATTCTGAAAAGCTGGGGCAGGAATGACTTTAAAAAAAATAATAATAATCTCTTTATTCCTAAAGAAAAATCGATATAAACTTTATCTCTGTCCTCCTGAATCCACTGGATCGTTGCTTCTCTGTTCTTCTTCACCCCCATCCTCCCCATCCCCCCGCCCAGGCCTCAGCTCGCCGTTTGGCGATGTTTTTCCCTGTCTGTGCACCGCTGGACAGAGAACGTACTTCTGAATCTTTGTTTTTTTGTGGATCCTCACCCGAGGATAGTCTTCCCGTTGATTTTGAGAGAGAGTGGAAGGGAGGCAGAAAGAGAGAAGAGCGTAGAGGAACATTGATGTGAGAGAGACCCATCAACTGGTGACCACCCCCCGCACGTGCCCGGACTGGGGATCAAACCTGCAACCCCGGGGGAGATCTCAATAGAATATTCGGCAGCTTTCCAGGTGTGTCCACTCAGGATGATTGGTTGGCGGCACCAGGGCAGGCGGCCATTATCCGGGCAACTGGTCCTGGTGTCAGCGGGGACTGGTGTTGCTTCTCTGGGCTGGAGCTGGAGCTGACAGAGCTGAGGCCTACATGTTCGTTCATCTCTGGGGGAAGGTCAGGGGCTCCAAACCTCGTGACCTCCAACATGCTAGGGCCGTGGTCGGCAAACCCATTAGTCAACAGAGCCAAATATTAACAAGACAACGATTGAAATTTCTTCTGAGAGCCAAATTTTTTCAACCTAAACTTCTTCTAATGCCACTTCTTCAACATGGACTCGCCCAGGTCGTGGTGTTTTGTGGAAGAGCCACACTCAAGGGGCAGAAGAGCCCGACATGTGGCTCGAGAGCCGCACTTTGCCGACCACGGTGCTAGGGGAGGAAAGGATCCTACCCGACAGCCGATTGTCCATTGTAGGCACCTGGGCCTTCCCTCCCGTGACCTTCTGCACCTGGCCCGTTGTCCTTGCTCTGCTCGTGTCTCACTGCCCACAGCTGGTGGGCATCACACTCCCTGGGAGAGCGCCCCCCTCTGCCCGGGTCTGTGCGGTGCTGTGCCGGCCAAGCTCACCCACAGGATCTGGGGTGGTCAGGGGGCGGTGCTGGGGTTGAGAGTCTCTGAATACAAGGAAGATCCATCAGGAGAGAGGGAGAGAGAGAGAGAGAGAGAGAGAGAGAGAGAGAGAGAGAGAGAGAGAGAGAGCGCAGTGGCCATTTCGATAGTTGAGGCACTTCCTCAGGCGTCTCACGCCGGACCAGAGGCCCTGAGTGACGAGAGAGGCTCGCGCTGATGGGCGGGCCTCGCAGTCTCACGTGGAGAAAAACCTCGTTGCACCTGGTTCTGGGTTCAACGATGCCTACCTGCCTCCCGGCCCGGGCCCCCCGAGGCCGGCCACGAGGGAGCGATCAGACCGTGGAAAGAATCTCGGAGCAGCCTCCGAAACAGCGGGGTCCCGCCCGGGAGCGCGCCTTTATTTCTTAGAGAGGAACCCAGGAGCTGTTGCCTCGCAGACCAGCGAGCCAGACGAGACGCCGGTTAGTCAGGAGTGAGCCAGTTAGTCAGGAGTCTTTATTGCGTGCAGGTTCGGAGCACGTCACCTCGTCACATTCTGAGCCCCCGGCGGGG